ATAAGTCATAACAGGAGCAATTACGGCGCTGCTGACAACTCGCTTTAATTTGCATATGTTTCGCACTCCAATCATGAATCACCGAAACGATTAAGGTTGATTCATGTGGTAGTACAAAAATGAACCAGGAAATCAGGAATAGTATGAACGATCAAAACCTCTCATGCCTCCGATGGAGCTTTGGTTTGGTTGGTCTCCCGTGGAGCAAGCAGGTAACCCTACCGCCATTATTTCGACGCAACAACAGTACACCAGCTTCACATTTGGCTGTGAAGGATGAAAACGATACGGAAATATTTCGAACCGATCGTTTTCGTTTTCTATATTATGATACCGTTTTCTATATTATGATACCATTTCTGAATTTCGCCAAACATAAAAATTTGTCATTTTCAATTGGTTTCACAACCATTTTCAACTATTTTTTATACTCTTTAATTGCTAAAATGTAGAAATATCCTAAACCAATTGTTTTCGTTTTCTATATTGTAATACCGTTTCGGACCGTTTTCATAGCCTTTGGGTCGTGGCTGGTCAGAGGTACCATGGTCCATGGATGGCATCAGACCAAACACCCAACCTGCCCTTTCACTGTTTACCGCACAGCCGTTTACCACAGGTACAACTTTCCACCACTTCCAGCTTCCTGCCAAAACATTTCGCTTTTTCCTGCTCCATGTCTTCTCCATCCACGCACTAATAAAACAGCTTGACACTCGATTCATGGTCATGGGGATTGCCGGATTCATAAGGAGCTCTTGAACTGCCCATCAGTCCTGGAGAGCCCAAACTAGTACTACACACCAACACTGCCTTGGATCCCTGCATTAACGCTGAGCTGAAGCATTTTGAACACACCAACTCCGAAGAGTCCTCCCATGTGCCGCACTGATCTCGCCATTTGCACCCCTCTCAAAGGGAAGTATTACTTTTTTTCAGATTCTGAGGTAGCAGCAAGTAGTGTAGTGCTGCTGCTGCTGCCCAGGGAGAAGGCCGTGGTCCAAGCTAGCTGTGTTTTGGACAGAGCAATATAGCAGGCACCGATAAAAGTGAGGCTGAAGCCCGCCATCCCGGTGAAGTGAGGGCGAAGGAAGCGTTGTTGCCCTTGTTGTCCACCCCGGCGGCAGGGACGACACGACGAGCGCGGCTTGGATTCGCGCGCTCACGTGGTGGTACCGTGGTAGGGGGCTTGCCGGCTTGGCGGGCCTTCTTTCTTTTCTCAGGGCGTTGTTTAGATTGTAAATTTTTACAATCTGGACACTGTAGTACGTTTCGTTTGTATTTAACAAACTTTGTTCGATCATGGACTAACTAGGCTCAAAAGATTCGTCTCGTGATTTACAACCAAACTGTGTAATTAGTTATTTTTTTACCTACATTTAATGCTCCATACATACATCCAAAAATTAATGTGATAGAGAGAGTGAAAAAACTTAGAATTTTGAGTCAATATAAACAAGGCCTCAATGAGGTGGCCAACCTAGCCAAAACTAGGGCCTACACTGCTGTGGAGAAACAGCGACAGTGCACGCAGAAATCGCAGGAGGGGCCATTGTTCAGATCAAATGATTCCCTTTTTTATCTCTTTATTTCCCTTACTACTTTTTCTTTGCAAAGAATTCTTTTTCGGTTGCCTTTTGTCATCTGCTTTGTGTGTGTGTGCGTGTGTTTTTTTTTAAAAAAAACCAACGATTCAACAAAGTTTTTTTTTCAGAAGATCATTAGCCATTGCTGCACTTGAATGAACGCGTGGTGACAAGAGAAGGGTGTTTATTTCGCAATTTGTCATGCTGAACAAATTCCTGAACCTGATAGTCACTCGTGATCACCTAACAATAGGATATGGACAGACCTATGTACGAACTAGTTGCATCATCTCAGTAGGCTAGTGCACTAGTAGTACAGTAGTACTTGACGAGGTGATCAGGTTCGTTCGCTTTGAACAATGCTCCACTCGCTTTCACTTGCTCCAAAGTTTACTCTTTATCCTATTAAATGTTGGACACATGTATAAGTATTAAATATAAACTCAAAAAATAACTAATTACACAGTTTACGACTAATTTACGAGACGAATCTTTTAAGCCTAATTATTTCATGATTTGACAATGTGGAACTACAGTAATATATGTATTAATGATGGATTAATTAGGCTTAATAAATTCGTTTAGTGGATTACTGACGAATTCTGTAATTTATTTTTTTTATTAGTATCCGATCAGAAGGGCAGGCCTGGTGCGTGGTGACCGGTGAGAGCTGTTTCATTGAGTCACCAGGTTGCGGGTTCGAAGCAGCCTCTCCACAAATTTTGCGGGGAGGCTTACCTCGATTTTTCCCTCCTCCAGACCCTATGTGGGAGCCTCCAGCACTAGGTCTACCCTTTATTAGTATCCGAACACCGAACACCGCATATAGTGCTACCCTTTATTAGTATCCGAACACCGAACACCGCATACGACACCCGATGTGACACCCCCAACGTTACCCTCTGAATTTAACAAGATCTTAATACGGGCGGAAGCATCTGCTAACTGCTGATCTGCAGCTGCTGTTGACGTTACGCAGAGGGCAAAGCATCTGCTTACCGAGCCGTTTCTTTCATGCACTCCTTTGAAATTCTGGGCCAGGCGTCTGCTTTGAAGAGATACAGATCAACTTCTTTTGTGCAACAACAAAAGACGATAAAAAAAAGTGAGAGAAAGCAACAATCAGATGCTCCGGTAGGGTATCTATCAATTCATCTTGCAAACAGGCTATTTTCTTTGGGACCAATGTAGCTTAAGATCTGACTTCAAGGCCTTTAGTTATGGCCCACTTCCAGTGTTTACACATAAGCAGAAAGCACTTAAAAGATCTTGGTTCCACAACAAAGATTCTGGCGCTAAATTGGACAGAGAGTGCACTTGATACTTTAGTGCCTACTACAATATTGGAGAAGGGAAATCAAAGGCTCTAGCAATGTAACTCAACTCGCTACAGACTCCTACTACATTGCAGCAGCAAATGAAACATGGCAAACTGGAAACAACCAACCAACAAACTTGAATATGTACAAGCACAGGAGGCCAAACTTACTGCATCCTAAATTACGACCTAAGCTTGCGAGATCGAAGTGCAGATTTTGCAAGGAATGGTAACATTTTCACACTCAGATGCTGATGAGATCTGGAGGTGGCGATGACGGGGAGCTTGTTTGCTGCTGCTGCTGCTGACCTCTTGCTTCAACGGTTGGTGCTTCATTGGTCCCAACTGGTGCTGGATGTAGAGGACTGGATGCAGAGCCGTCACCGGAATTTGGAACCTCCTCTCCTTGCTTGGTAGATGGCTTTGGTAGCTCACTTAGGATCTGCACAACCTCCCTCATCGTCGGGCGCTGCACGCTTTGCTCCTCAGTGCAGAGCAATGCAAGATAGAAGACATGCATCACCTCGTGCAGCGGCACAGTTGAGAGCCTTGGGTCCAGGATCTTCATCACTTGTTCTTTGCTTGAGTCTGTCATCATCTTTGCCCATTGGACAATGTCAACACCATCGCCAAACTCACCTACAGGCTTCCTTCCAGTGACAAGCTCAAGAAGCACAACGCCAAAGCTATAGACATCGCTCTTCTCATCGACCTTCAGTGTGTATGCATATTCTGGATAGCCACGGATGGCAACCAAGAGCAAGGTCATTGGAAAATAGAATTTAGAAGCCAATAGTCAGACATTTTGTAAACCAAAAGCAATGACGAAAATGTAAAGAGAAATACAACAGAAGATACGCATAAAAAAAAACATTGAACATTACAATCATGAAGGTGTAAACAAACATCATAAAGTTTCAACAGAAGATACAAAAATGAAGTAGCTGATCTTCAGTAAATGTTACTCGTAAAGAGAACTAGTAGAGATAATATTATAACAGAAACCATGTAGATAAGTACCAATACTCATCAAACAGTATAACAATGAAGTTTTATAGCTTGAGAGACATAGTTTTATAGCTCGAACAATGTAATAACTATAAGTATTCTAAACTTATAATGCATCTCGATATATTCAGATGAGTACTCTATTCATATTGAACTAGATCAGGAAGGGTTAATTTTTACCTGGCGCTATGTAGCCATATGATCCAGCAATGGCGGACATACATTCAGATGCCCCTGAGTCCTGCAAAAATTTTGCTAGCCCAAAGTCGGCCACATGAGCTTCAAAGTTGGAGTCAAGAAGTATGTTATTTGACTTGACATCCCGGTGAAGTATCAAAGGTGAACAGTCATGGTGCAAGTAGCAAAGCCCCTTGGCTGCCTCAATAGCAATGCTGTATCGGGTATCCCAGTGCAAGTGCCCTCCTTTCTTGCCATGGAGCATCTCCCCAAGGCTCCCATTGGGCATATACTCATAAACCAGCAGGTTGGTCTCATTGTTTGAGCAGAAGCCTAGCAGGCGCACAATATGACGGTGTCGAATTCTACCAAGTGTTTGTATCTCCGCCGAGAACCCATGATCATGTGATGAGCCACGGCCTATTGCTGGGAGTCTCTTCACAGCCACAAGTTCACCATTCGGCATTGCCCCCTTATACACAATCCCAGCACCACCTTTGCCAATAATGTTCTCCTCTTTCAAGCAATCCAGCACATCATCACTGGTGAAGTCCAGGCGCTGGAATGCAGTAAGTTTCCATACTCGCGCTTCACTAGCTTTTTTCAATGACCGAGCCTTCAGAATCGCCGCAGCAGCAAATGCAATGGAGCAAATCAACAAACCGAGGACAATGAGCAGCTTGACCGTATTGGTCAGCCCACCATGGCCATGGGCAGTGTGGTCAGCGCCAGCGATATCTGCACTGCATGGACCGAGGTATGGTCCACACAGGCCTGGGTTGCCAACGAAAGACGTGGCATTGAAGTAGCTGAACTGGCCAGTCCCTGGCACAAGCCCAGACAAGTTGTTATACGAGAAGTCGACCGCCGTCAAGCTCTGCATCGTTGCAATGGATGGAGGTATCTCTCCATCAAGGTGGTTCCTGGACAGGTTGAGGTAGTTCAGTATTCGCATTCCAGAGATGGCCGGAGGTATCTTCCCAGAGAGGTTGTTTTGGCTCATGTCCAAGTAAGTGAGAAGCCGGCATTTCCCAATCTCCGGTGGCACAGCTCCTCAAACTTGTTGCTGCTAAGGTCAGCCTTGAGAGCTGCTGCAGCCGCCCAATCTCCGGAGGTATGGCACCAGAGAACGCGTTCTGATCAAGCAGCAGCTTCTGAACACCAGAGAAGTTCCCAAGAGATGCAGGCAATGCTCCCGTAAGCTGGTTGTTGGACAGGCTGATCTCGCCAAGGTTAGGAGCCGCGGCACCGATCACAGCCGGGAAATTACCAGTGAGGAGGTTATCTTGCAACTCAACTTGAGTCAGCTTCGGCAATTCGAATAGCCCCTTTGGAATTGAGCCATTCAGGTAGTTCTCCCCGAGACGGACACGGCTCAAGGACTTGCACTGGCCGAGTGAGTCTGGGATGGCACCGAACAAGAAGTTGCCGAGCGCGATGAGGGTCTGCAGCTTGCCCCCCGCGCAGAGCTCCGGCGGCAGCGTGCCGGTGAGCTTGTTCGACGAGAGGTCGAGAAGCTGGAGGCGGCCGTTGCGGCCGAGGCTGCGTGGCACACCGCCGGTGAAGTTGTTCTCCCACAGCTGCAGCACCTCGAGGCTGGGCAGGTCGCCGACGAAGTCGGGGATGTCGCCGCGCAGCTTGTTCCGGAACAGGTTGAGCAGCGTCAGGTTCTTGAGCTCGGAGAAACTCGCCGGTATCTCACCGGTGAGCGCATTGTTCGACAGGTCCAAAGAACTGAGGCTCTTGAGGTAGCCTAGCTCCGACGGTATGCTGCCGGTGAGGCCGTTCACCTGCAAGAAGAGCGTATCCAGATTCTGCAGCCTCCCGAGCTCGGGCGGGATTTCGCCGGAGAGCCCACAGTTGGCGACGTCGAGGCGGACGAGCTCGGTCAGGTTCCCCAGCTCCGGCGGAAGACCACCGGTGTAACTGTTGTAGTAGCCAATGTAGAGCTCCCTGAGGCTGGTGAGGTTCCCCAGCTCGGGCGGTATCTTGCCGGAGAGCTCGTTCCCGGAGACCGCAAGGTACTGCAGCCTGGGCCACCGGCCGTACTCCGGCGGTATCTCCCCAGAGAAGAAGTTGCCGCCGAGGTGCAGGTGGCGGAGCATGGGCATGTGCGTGACCTCGAGCGGCAGCGTAGCGCTGGTGAGGTTGTTGTTGTAGAGGTCGAGCACCCGGAGCGCGCGGAGCCGCGCGAGCGCGGGCGGGAAGGAGCCGTTGAAGGCGTTGTTGGAGAGGTTGAGGTGGACGAGGAGCTGCAGGCGCGCGAGCGACGGCGGGATGGGCCCGTAGAACCCGTTGGCGGCGACGGAGAGGCGCTGCAGGCCGCGGAGCCTCGACAGCGCCGGCGGGAGCGCGCCGGACAGGTTGAGCCCGGAGACGTCGAGCCCGACGACGACGCCCCCGCCCCCGCCGCCTGAGCCGCGGGGCGCGCAGGTGACCCCCGCCCACGCGCAGTGGTCGGAGGAGGCGGCGTCCCAGGACGCGAGCGCGCCGGTGGGATCGGAGAGCGCCGCCTTCGCGGCGAGCAGCGCGTCCGCGTCCGCGTCCGTGTCCGTGCCGCCGCCCGCCGCGCCGGCCGCGACCGCGACCGCGGCGAGGGCCAGGAGCAGCAGCAGCGGGAGGAGGTGCATTGGGCTTCTCTTTTCTCGGACGCGGCGGCGGCGGAGTGGAGGGGGAGGAGAAGAGAGGGCGAGAGACGGCTCGCGCTCAAACTCTCGGCGAGGAGAGTGCGGACAAGAGCGTGGCGTGGCGAGTGGTGAGGGGTGTGCTTGCTGTGGGTTTGAACGCTCACTAAACTATAGGATATATCAATCAATCTAAATTGAAAAAAAAAGTTTTTTTTTTTGGTTCTTTTGGGGGGTGGTACTGGTGTGTGGGTTTCCTTCTGGGGGATTGGGCTGCTTTTATAACGTGATCTCGGGGTCTCTCGGTATCGAACGGATGGATGGATATGGGCAGTTTTGACTTTTGGCTAACGATTAATCCATTGCAGTACTCATGGAGTGCCAGTAGTACTTAGGGCCTGTTTAGTTGGTAAAAATTTTTGGTTTTGGGTATCGTAGCATTTTTGTTTGTATTTGATAATTAGTGTCTAATTATGGACTAATTAGGTTCGAAAGTTTCGTCTCGCGATTTCTCACCCAACTGTGTAATTAGTTTTTTTTCATCTACATTTAGTACTCCATGCATATGCCGCAAGATTCGATGTGATGAATACTGCGCAAAAAATTTTGACTTTTGGGTGGAACTAAACAGGCCCTTAGGGTACTCTAGTAAACTTTTTTCTCGATTATCCGTTTTCGTATTTAGAAAAATAAAAAATGAGACGAGGGGTATTTCCTCGGTGTTGTGGGATCATTTTTAGTCAAAATAGACCTATATTCATCTTGTATTTATGAATTTGAGATAAGTTTTAGCATCTTTTATGGAAACTAGGTATTTATAGAATAATTAAAAACATAAGATCATCCTGAGGAGCACCAAGAAACTCATGAGACACTTTTAACTTTTAACACATATAGTTGGTACACTTATAAGCTATGTCATGACCCATGATGTTAGCTTAGATCTTTCGGTTTTTTTTTTGGCAGAATCGTCCGAAATAACAAACATTCGGAGGCGCTCGTCTTCCACCAGACACTAAGCACCTCGAAAGCAAGCTACATCGGGTGGATTCCATTGAGCACACCCTAAGGGAGAACTCGAATAATCCACATTTTTTCTCCAGGATCCAATAATAAGAACGAGTTTACATTATTTAGTCCATTTCATAGAACCAAAATTCTTAGAAATACATTATTACAGTACTGGTGGTGTTCGCTGGTCTGGAGGAAACCAGCCAGCCGGCTGGTTCCCCTCACGCGACACTGTTCATCCATTGAGCCGAACAATGTTTTTCTCTCACAATAAACCAGCCGGAATAGTGTTTTTCGGCCAAGTTTCAGACCAGCGAACGGGGCCACTAAGTTCAGAGTACGGAAATTAAACAGCAGAATTAAAATAAACATCTATCGATAATATACAAGGATCTGTCTATGCCCACCAGAAAAATCCTTCACACAACAGCTACTCCTCAAGCAACACCTGCAACACAAGTAAATAAACACTGAGTACACAATATACTCGCAAGACTTATCTGACTAGTGGGAATAATTTTCCGACTCCAAGGGATATGATAAACTTTATGGTTTGCTGGGTTTTCTTTTTACGGAAAGCAATACTAATAGTTAATCCTTATGTATGTTTATTATTAGTAGTCATAATTAGTTCATTAGCTAGCCACTCTGTGTAAGCACCTGTTCTACTTTTAAGCAAGAGTTGAACACACGTTTCTATTTCACCATCTTTCATCTTCCAGTTCTTACTACAGTGCTAGACTGTAGACAAGCCGTACTAGATTGCCCGGTGATTCGTGAATCAATGTGCCCAGCTGGGTACCCCGAAACACACGTCCCACTTGTAGCCCAGGCACGAGCAGGATCAACCCACCACTCTCCTGTCAAGGGATCCAGGTCCTTATTCAAACATGGACTCCAAGCCCCCATACATAAGTCCCAGACTCAGTGTGATGCTTAGACCCCCACCATCCCCGCCTCCAATCAGTCTGTCCGGAAAGAGCCAGAACCCATGACAAGAGAGCAACAAGCCTTCTTTGTTCCCATAAACAAGTATGTGCTCGGGATAATAATAAGTCTATGACTTGCCTAAAACCTAATGCAACGGTCGGTCCTTAACCGACACAGACAGGGAAACAGTGTAACCAAGCTATGCTCCATTGGCCGTAGAACACAACCTCTTACACCCACCAATACCTAAACCATATCCCTACCCGGTCTCTATTTTTCCTTTCACCATTTTATTATGAGAGTGGTAATAATAATCACCTATTGTGAGTAACGGCAGGTTACTCACGCTAACGAAAACCCTAAGCATAGCAGCTCCTCGGCCTATGCTAGTAAGACTCATATGTAGTTATATCTATGCATGTAGTTTTCATAAAATGCCTGTAACGTAAATGCACATCATATATATATCCAATGATTGTTCAAAATAAGGGTTATGCACCGGGGCTTGCCTTGGACAGGCAGGATGTCAGCAAAGTCAGCAACTGATGGCTCCAGGGCGGCTTCTTGGATGAGGATCTCCTCGTACTCCTCAATTATCTCCTCATACTCCTGCTCGCCCGCAGTCACGAACTATACCAACTCGTTATCTACATGCATGAAATGATGATGCTACACTTAGTAATACGGCAACAGCAACTCTTAAAATAAGAATACATCTACCAAGCTACTAAGCTAGATCTAATGACTAGGACGCTAAGTTACCTATTATTCCCACTAAACAGATATAAAACATTTCACGTATTATCTAAGCAACTAAAGGCATCCTTATTCTTATTACCGATTTAATATATATACTACCACAAGGCGTACTTAGCCACCATCTTTCTCAACCTATGCTAAGGCTACTATTACCAATTTACCACAAAACTCCTACAATTATTAATCTAAATAACATTAACACTTTCAAATGATTTAATAGACCTTAGCATCAACACACATATATATAAACTAACCATACTATCAGGTAGACAACATTTTTAGGAACTCAACATAATTTATTTCACAATTTTTGGATACTTATAAGAATTGATATTAATTTTCAAAGTTTAACTTAGAATGTAAAATATAAAGCTATTTCTATCTTCTATAAAAATGAAAAACGAATTCAACCTGTGCGGCCCACGAGCGAGCGACGCGACCCACGCACGCGCAGCGCGCGCGCACGCGCGACCCGCCGGCGCGGCCCACGCGGGACACGGCCCTACCGCGCGGAAACAGCCCACGACGGGGAGGCCCGCGCGCGCCGGTCACTTATGCAAAACCGCCCCCACTCTAACCGCTATTCACCCAATTACTATGCGACCTATTCCTACAGTCGGGACTTAAGCAAACTAGCCCTCAGAACAATCCTTCTTTACAACGGCTAGGTCCTCAGGCCACCCCCGCGCGCACCGACGCGGCGGCAATGGCACTGGACAGCCACGACGGCCATCTGGGCCCCTCCCCACCACCTCTAAAGGGCCGATGCTCACCTAGATGTAGACGTGAATCGATGGGCGATGAAGAGAGGAGCGGGGACGCGGTCAAGAGCTCCCTTCACGGTGGCGGACACCCTTCGACGGCGGCGGACGTGTTCCAATGAGCCTAGGTACAATCGAGGTGAAAGAACCAATGGGTGAGCATCAGCAACTCACCCCGCAACTACCTGTTGTGGTGGCTTAATAGGGGACGGACCGGGCACGTCCGCCCACGCGCACACGGCAAGCCCAACGACGGACTGTGGCGGCGCGGCCGCGTCAGCAGCGCCGGGAAAGCAGTGACGGTGCAAGTAGGGTGCGCAGGGTGAACTGGAGGTGAAGGCGAAACTTGTGGTGAAGGTGGATTGACGAGAGGTGGTGCGGCGGGTGGTTGCCCTCGGCCACGGCCGGCTCCGGCCTTAATGGCACGGCGAAGGGGAAAACGGACAATTAGAGCTCGGCCGGGCTCAATTGAAGGCCGAAGATGACTGGGCGGTAGCAGGACTCCAGTACTAGCACCTGGCGCGAGTAATTGCGCTAACAATGACCAGGCGCTGCGAATTTGTCTTTGGCGCGCCTTGGTCCCGCCTGCCGTCCCTAGCGGCCGCAACAGCATGCGAGAGAGAGAGAGACACAGAGAAGGGACAGCACGATGTGTCGCGTAGCCATTCAACAGAAAAGAACAAGGCGAGGGGACGACAACTCCACGTGCGGCGCAGGGTGAGACCAGCAGCGGCTTGGCACGATGTGCCGTGCGTGGGAGCTCCATGCCACATCGATCGGGCATGGTTGACCCCAAGTGGGCACAGGCGCGCATGCGAAAGGGCAGCGGCCTCGATCCCTCTTTGACGTAGCGCCAGCAGAGTAGAGAGAGAGATAGGCGCCGTCGTGGCACCCATGTGCGAGGCGGTGTGCGTGCAGCGGTGCAACGGCGACAGCGGCTGGCGGAGCAGAGCCGAGCAACAAAACAAACGCGGGCGGCCCCAGGGGCACCAACAGCGGCGCCAGCGGCAGCGCGCATTGCGACAATGAGGAGGAACAGCTGCACACCCGGGCTGACAGCCACAATGGTCAGCCGAGCGCGGCCAGACACACACGCGCGCGGCCGGCGCGCCGCCGACGGCACAGGAGCGCGGTGACCGCGCCTACGCGAGGAACCTGACCCGGAACGTGCCATGCACGCTTTTTAAAGCGTCCAATTCACTCAATCGGTGGACCCAACATCCAAACCAGCGTTGCTACACCTAAGAGGGCATATGAGGCTACAAAAACAAGCCATAATGCAACACCACTCCTTAACCCAATCCTTCTACAAAAATTACCAAACATACCTTTGTCGACCTGTTTTCTGACTTAAGAAATCGACTAAGTCTTGTGTTGGTTTTGCTTCAAATTCGATTTCCAAGCTATTAGAAATATTAGCTAGTGATATTATTTTTCAACCGTAGGTATTCCATCGCCATCTACAAAGTTTGTATTTCAAACTTTTTTTAAGTAGCGCATACATGTTCTATAGCATTTTTGCTTAATAAAAATTGGTTTTCAACC